GTACACTTGTTACGAAGTCTGGCTTGTAAAGGGTCTGTCAGGTGAGCGACAGAGAGCCCCTTGATTGTGGGTTATCTCGGATATTAAATGGCGTTACTTTGCTCCGCGTTAACCTTCGCACAAATGTAGGTAATTCTCCACACTGGTGTGGCACGCTGCTAATCGAAGAATACGTTCCAGGCTCCTGCCTTGCGATCTCGAGCTGAACGTCCCCGCGACCTGGCCTCGATTAGAGCCTCGACCAGGCTGTAAACAAACCTAAAACTGTAAGAGTTTGATGAAATGTGGGTGACTGAAACGTCTGACAATGAGGGAAAGTGTCGAATTATGAAACTGGGAGCAGACCTCTTCGTTAATCTGAAGCTGCAGAGATAAGCCTTTCATCCTCTGCCCCCTCTAAATATTTTGGTCAGACATAATCTTGGTTTAATATTCTTTTTAAGATGGCGCACCATGGAAATGGTTTAAACTGTATGCTGGAGTACTGGTGAGGGGCCAGCGTGAGGTTTCCCCCCCCCCCCCCAAACACTGGCGACAAAGCCCAACAGCTAGAGAAGCGGTATGTCTTTAATGACTTTATTGGAAGCACTTGGTGTTCTACATTAGTGCTATTGAAGCCTATTGATTGTGCTCATAACTGATGGCTTCATGGGAAAAATAATAAAGGGTAATTGTTAATGGTTTAATAAAATACGATGCTTTGATTATTCTGGCCTTTAGGTGAGGAGACAGGAGGGTTGGGAACTGAGGCATCCAGCCAGGTCTTTTCTCTAAATATAATTGAGAAAAGTACCCTGGCTTGGTGCCTAATTCTAATACTTATTTCGGTAATGGAAAGTGTTAAATCCTGCTTTATTTAGCTAGGTACAAAGTTATCGGGACTAATTTCCTTAAATTTTTCTGATGTACGTGTTAAGAGACCATTGTGCTACTAATTATGCACTGTTACCCCACAGGGGTGGCCGTGGGGGAGGGTCCAAAGTTACACATTAGGGGCTCGGATACTTTTGATATCGTTCGCCTTATGCGTTTTTGTTCTCGTATTGGCATCCTTGGTGATATTTAGCGCCCTCTGATTATTTTGCGCATTTGATAGTGATACATAGCCTTCCCGGTTTGGTGCCTTCTTTTGATAATTTCTTACTTACACATTAGGGGGTGAGTGGGGGGGGGGTTATAATAAACTCAGCCTGCACAATAGTCACAAGTTTTCAATAACTTGTGCTTCAAAGACCTTAATAGCAATGTGCTGTTATTTTGAGGTCGTCTTGCTATATATTTGACAAATTGTAAATCCTGTTGTCGGACGGGAGGCCTATACTTAGGCTTATTGAGGTTCCTTAGGCCGACTACTGACCTTCCTCACGACGCAACAGTTGCCTAATTCCCTGGAATATATTTTAAAGCAAAGTAAATAGAGGCATCAGGCGGAAGGAAGCGCGGCCAAACGTATGTCCTGTCCGGGGATTAAACTCGGGTCTCCTTGCTTGAGCCGACGACTTGGTCCACTCTGCTACAGCGCTCTAAGAGTACTAATATAAAACTAAATCAAGCAAATATAATAATCAAATACTGTACTTGTTTTTTTATTTTTTTACTTGAAAAAATACATTACTATAGCTGGGCCAGGCTTCAACAGGTATTTATGAATCAACTTAGGAACCTGTAAATCATTTTCTCAGTCTTTCCACTTACTAAACAGTTTACTAGCTTCAAAACTAACAAATCAAATGTTACTGTTAACAGCCTCCTGGTGGTTCGGCGCTCGTAACTGTTTAATACATGTAAACAAAACCGCTTGTTTAACTGTAAAGTTGTTTAATTAAGTACTTGTTTAACTGGTTGATGACTCTTGGTCCTGTCTCTCCAAACCTTCCACACTTCAGACAAGCTATGGAAGCCAGAAGGAGCACACTGAAACTAACCAATCTTAACATTATTGCGTTCAACAAGCGAAGGTAAGCTACATTATTTAAGCCTGTAACGAGAGTATAATGTTTGAGCGTGTGGGTATTGGGTGCATAATAAAAAAAAATTGGTCCCTTTGTGTTAGGCCCGCACTCTCCGCCTGGGGAACCTGGACCAACCACCTGAGAGGAAGTAAGTGTTAATTTAAAGTTTGAGTAAAGATAGATTATCAGTTGTGGGGCTTATAGATTCATATAAGCAGGCGATGAGTCACAATAACGTGGCTGAAGTATGTTGACCAGACCACACACACTAGGTGAAGGGACGACGACGTTTCGGTCCGACCTGGACCACTCTCAAGTCGATTGTGAATGACTTGAGAATGGTCCAGGACGGACCGAAACGTCGTCGTCCCTTCACCTTCTAGTGTGTGGTCTGGTCAACACTAGATTCATATAGTTGTTATACCTGGAAAACTTATATATTTGCATATTACTTGGTCTGAAGTGACCCTTTATAGAGTCAACGGAGGAATAAATTTACAGTTTTATGGAGGATGAGACAATGTATTTAGAATGCGAGAAACTTTAACGATCACACAAGTGGTAACTACAGACAGGTGTATTGGCAGGAGTCCATTCAGTGGGAGAAGAGTTAATTAGTGGAATAACCTGAATAAAAACAGTGGAACCTCGACTCCAAAAGAGGATATGACAAGGCACTGGAGGAGAGTGGGTGGTCGATCAACAGCAGCAACGAGACGCTTCAAAGTCATGATTCACTTCCCGGGAACAAGCGGAAAAGCACTTTATCATCTATAGTGACTCCCACCACGCATGACATTTTGCCATTCCTTGGAGAGGAATTTTATATGTAAAAAACTTTTACCAAACAACTCCATTTAGCAGAACTAATTTCCTGTGACTGTGGGAAGAGTTAGCTTTCCTGTGACCTTTTGTTGTCCAACGTCCAACGTCCCTGCTTCCTGTTCAGAAAGACATTAATCCTTTCCCATAGTATTCTTGCTTCTTCCCCTCGCAGCATTTCCCGGTGTTGTTGAATGAATATATATAAGGCTGTGGCCAAGGAAAAGATCTCCATTTGACCCTCGCCAGTTATTGTTGCCAGCGAATCTCTTACATGCCAGTTTTCAAAAATAGGCAGAGATAAAACAACCATTCGTCCACCCTGTTAGAATATCCGGGTCGTCACGTGATTGAATGCTCGTTTGAAAGAGGAAGTATAGAAGAGGAACCGCCCGAAGAAGCCATTACCTTCGACAACATGCATACTGCACCCCTGGAGAGCCTTGTGTTGGGGTGGCTGGTGCTCCTGGGCACCGTGCTCGGGGCCGCACCCTACACCGCCACCATAGACGGCGTCGACGTCCACAACGCCAACTCCTTGTGCACCGTCAAAATAAGTGGGGAGCTGAAGGTGGGCAAATGGCGGCTGCCTCAACTGGAATGCGTGTCTTGCGGGAGATGCGGACATTTCATGGCCGGTCGATGCGAGCAACTGATCTCCAAGGTGCGAGGGAAGAGGTGGAGGAGAGGCTGTGTCTGTGTGCTCTCAGAGATACCTGTGGTAGTTAGACGTCATAATTCCTCCAAGTAGTCAAAAAATATGTAAGTGGGCCTCTTGCGTTGATCTTTCAGCTGACGAAGCCCAAAGACACGGGTTGTGGCGTGTTTGTGATGGTGTGAACGGGACAGGAGAGATGCTCTTGACGGACAGTTCATTATGTAGACACCTACATATGTAATGATGTCTAACAGTTGGTTCGATGCTTGGAATTATATCAACAACTGCAGACATGTCGACGTCTGCAGCTATGTCGACATCATATTATATATATATATATATATATATATATATATATATATATATATATATATATATATATATATATATATATATATATATATATATAAACTTGTCACTTCTACTATAGAATGTGTTGACATTCAAAGACCCAAATAAATCATGTATTTTTCCCTAAGACTGTACAAGACATGGATCACAACAGTGACCCATGTGAACTTCCCTGGGATCAGCAGTGAAACCATATGTAACTTGTATCTTGTGTCTTTTCAAACTTTCTTAGTAATTCTTAATTTTTTCAGCCATTCGTAAGCTGGTTTACACCAATTAAGACTTGTCTAATGCCAGACTTTGTATACTATATGAAGGTCTGGCATTGGCTGATAAATGCAACCATTACTTAGTGTATTTATGTTTCAAAATTTAGAGTTATTTAATAACCATTATTAATGTTATTTAATGAGCTAAGTCACACGTGAAATTGAAGTATACAAGTTATTTAATATTTAGACATTTCTTTGTTTGGTTATTGTGATTGTAAACAAATTCATATTAGTATATTATTTAATAAAAAAATATATAAGATTCAAGTACATAAATACTATAGTCTCTCTTTATCTGTCTATCTTGCCGGTGAAATCGATAAGATTAATAAGTAAAGACTGTGTAGGATAATTTAATATTCGTGAATTTTATTTATGTCAATGATCATACAGATCGTCTTCCCACTTTTTCCTTAAGGCATTTCTTATTTCTCAACGTAGCCTAATTGTGGGTCCAAAGATGGGCTTAGGGAGCCAACGGTGGGCCTAGGAGTCCAACGGTGGGCCGAGGGGTCCAACGGTGGGCTTAGGGGTCCAACGGTGGGCCTAGGGGTCCAACGGTGGGCTTAGAGGTCCAACGGTGGGCCTAGGGGTCCAACGGTGGGCCTAGGGGTCCAACGGTGGGCCTAGGGGTCCAACGGTGGGCCTAGGAGTCCAACGGTGGGCCGAGGGGTCCAACGGTGGGCTTAGGGGTCCAACGGTGGGCCTAGGGGTCCAACGGTGGGCCTAGGGGTACAACGGTGGACCTAGGGGTCCAACGGTGGGCCTAGGGGTCCCACGGAGGGCCTAGGGGACCAACGGTGGGCCTAGGGGTCCAACGGTGGGCCTAGGGGCCCAACGGTGGGCCTAGGGGTCCAACGGTGGGCCTAGGGGCCACACTGGGTCAAATTGGTTCAATTAGCCTAAGGTCAACTATTCTTTAATAAATATAAATAAAACAAATCCCATTTTTATAAAAATTATATTAAGCTATTCACTGGTCAAAATAAAACATTTTTCCATGCCACATACATAATAAGAAAAAAGACCCGTTCCTGAATTTTCCCATGATATACAGGAACAAGAACACAGCTCACCCAGACATGCATACAAGAGAGCAACAGATTATTTACATATAAAATATATTTGTTGCATTATCTAGTGATATGAAGGACATTATATAAAAATCTTTGATATTATGAAAATTGAATGGGTTGAAATCTTCGAAATACATGATAGCTATTCAATGATTTCTTGCTATATTTCAAACGGCAGCATAATATCAGAAGGCAAGTTCATCCATATAGTTGCATTATTCAGTGTAAACAAAAGATCACAGCCATTGAGTCGTAAACCGTATTTCATTCCCAACGAATATTTACATCTTCTCCACCCTCTTCTCCAGCAACCTGAGTTGTTCCCGCACCTCGTTAGGAAGGTCATCACCAACCTGTTCGTCAAAGTACCTACCAATATCGCGCACTTCCTGCTCCCAGAAATTCTTTGGAAGCCTAAACAGTTCATCCATATCTACACTCTCCTGGAGACCGGACAAGTTCATGGAAGACGCCTTAGGCAAGAGTCCAATGGCGCTCTCTTCGGCTACCTCCTCTCCGTCAACTCTCCTCAAGATCCAGTCCAAGACACGCACGTTATCCCCGAATCCTGGCCACAGGAAGCGCCCCTTCTCGTTCTTGCGGAACCAGTTCACGTGGAAGATCTTGGGAAGAGGCTTGTCTGTGCGAGTCTCCATGCTCAACCAGTGCTGCAGGTAGTGGCCGAAGTTGTAGCCGAAGAATGGCCGCATGGCGAAGGGGTCGTGCATGATTACCTTGCCCTTGAATTCTGCTGCTGCCGTTGCTTCTGACCTCATGGCTGCCCCTACCATCACGCCGTGCTTCCAGTCGTAGGCTTCGTACACTAGAGGCACTCCCTGGGGACGTCTTCCTCCAAACAGAATGGCAGAAATGGGGACGCCCTTAGGGTCTTCCCATGCAGGGTCAATGATGGGACACTGGCCAGCAGGAGTGCAGAATCTGGAGTTAGGGTGAGCAGCTGGCTTGCCAGATTCTTTACTCCAGTTAGTCTCTCCAAGCCATGATGTGATGGTCACATTATTGGAGATTTCCTTTTCCAATCCCTCCCAGAATACGCCACCGTCACTCGTCTTGGCAACGTTGGTGAAGATTGTGTTCGAGAGGACAGACTTCATAGCCACAGGGTTGGTTTGCATGGAAGTGCCGGGAGCCACACCGAAGAACCCATTCTCGGGGTTGATGGCACGCAAAACTCCGTCCTCGTCAAACTTCATCCAGGCGATGTCGTCTCCCACACATTCCACTTTGTAGCCTGGCAGTGAAGGTGTCATCATGGCCAAGTTGGTCTTGCCGCAAGCAGAAGGAAACGCGGCAACAATGTATTTCTTCACGCCCTCAGGATTGGTTATGCCCAGGATAAGCATGTGTTCAGCCAACCAGCCTTCCCGTCTGGCAATGGTAGAACCAATACGTAAAGCAAAACACTTCTTGCCCAACAGGGAGTTACCTCCATAACCGGAGCCGAAGGAAATGATCTCGTTAGTGTCAGGCACGTGAGTGACGATGGTTCGTGCAGGGTCACAAGGCCAGTTGTTGACTAGAGGCTTCTTAAGGGGCAGAGGGCAGCCGACGGAGTGAAGACACTTGACGAAGTCATCTTCGCCCAGAGCCTCCAACACCTTACTGCCCATTCTCGTCATGGTTCGCATAGAGGCCACAACATAGGGAGAGTCGGTGACCTCGACGCCAATCTTTGAGAGTGGAGAACCCACGGGACCCATAGAGTAGGGCACTACGTACATGGTCCTGCCGGCCATACACCCGGGGAAACGCTCCTGTACCGCATTCTTCAGATCCTCTGGAGACATCCAGTTGCCAAGGAGGCCTTTGACGCCCTCCTTGGGTGTTGGGATGGTCTCTCTTCGGTCTTTGGTGACGATGAAAGTCTTGCTCTCCACGCGAGCAACATCTCCGGGATCAGTGCGGGCCAACCAGCAGTTCTTATACTTGGGGAGATTCTCGATCATGCCGGCCTGCTGCATCACGTTCAACAGGTGACTCATCTCTCGTTCACTGCCATCACAGATGTGCAAGTTCGCTGGCTGACAGAGACGGGCGCTCTCCTCCACGAAGCTTTGCACCTGTTAACCATAAAACAACTTTAATTATATCTGGTATCTAATCTTCTTATCGAAGGTCAAATTCACTCGTAAATATTTGAACAAAAACATGATCAAAAGATGTTGGTACCGACCTTGGGTTTAAGATCAGAGGTTTCGCCATATAAGACGGACAGACTTCTACTCAGGATTCTAATGTTCTTGGCTGCATCAAAGGTCGTCTTGGTGACCTCATTCAGCACGCTCCCTAGTCTGTTAAGTGAAGATAAGCTTAGGAAACATTGGTAATACTTCCATTATTTACTTCAATATCAATACTTCCAATACCTCTTATCTACCTTACAAAAAAAGTATCAAAGTTAAAAAAAGTATTTGACTTACAAAAACGTATCTAACAAGCAAATAAATAACCAAACAGTAGATAACAAAGCACACCCACAAAAGATAGAAATAAACAAAGCAACAAATATTTGACACCACTCGAAATATAATGAGTAAGATATTCAATGAAACATTTGCTTTCAAGCAAAAACTATTTGTCAAATAGCATAATGCAGAAGCAATCTGCATAATGCTATTTATATAATGACCCTGCTAGTTGGTGCAGGGTACACGGACCCCCGTTTAAAGAAACACACCGGTTGCGTCTGAGAAGAAAAGTAAATAAATCAACACTCGAAACACACATTGGGTGTTACTAAGCGTCCAGTTACCTGAGGCAGAAGAAGGTCCGATTGCGCATGGCGGAGATCATCATGATGGGAGGATACAAATTAAAGCTTCACTTATTTGTGAGGTCCTTGTGAGTGAGCAATGAAGCCTCAAGGTGTTGTTGAGAGCACAGCACGAAGCCTCAAACGAGCTTGTGAGATCCCGGAGCCCCACAGTGAAGCCACTCGCGCTTGCGCACAACTGATAATCGTCGGCTGTTCTCACCCGAGCGTTGGTCAGGCTACTACCCCACCTGCACGTCCGCACTCATGACGTCACTTCGCAAGCTGGAGCCTCCAGTGTGTGCGCATTTGATGGGCGGTGCCAGGGTACACGAACGGTCCGCACCACTGTAGCCTCCACTGTACCACTTTGCGTCCACTGTACCACTTAGCGTCCACCGTACTGCTCAGCGTGCTCTCTATCACTTAGTATTGACTGTAACACTGTATTGTACCACTTGGCACCCACTGTATTGTACCACTTGGCACCCACTGTATTGTACCACTTGGCACCCACTGTATTGTACCACTTGGCACCCACTGTATTGTACCACTTGGCACCCACTGTATTGTACCACTTGGCACCTACTGTATTGTACCACTTGGCACCTACTGCATTGTATCACTTGGCACCCACTGTATTGTACCACTAGGTACCTACTGTATTGTACCACTAGGTACCTACTGTATTGTACCACTAGGTACCTACTGTATTGTACCACTTGGCACCCACTTATGTACCACTGGGTACCTACAGACTTTCCAGATACTTGCTTAAACTATTCGTCAAGAAATAGCGGCAGGTAGCTGGTGGTTCTTCAAGAAGTGAACCCGGGGTGTGTAGAGGAAGTGGTGTGAGCGAGGCGACGGGCGACACCAGCGGCAGGAGGCGCGGGAGTCCAACAACTGACCAGGTGAGACTAGCTTCTTGACTGAACCTTCTCCCCCGCGACACTCAGCCAGGCGTAAAGATCACTGATGTGGATAATGGCGGGATGGGGACTTGCTGATACCCGCTATCAGCTACTTGGTGCAACTTAACCTCCAGCCCCGTCGCTGACACGTACCCAGGGCGCCTTCCTAACCCACTACACCTGAGTTCTCGAACTACAAAATTCAACTTGTTTTATCTCGGCTCGATATTAACACAGCAGGAATCGCAGGAAGGTGTTTACAAGGCATACATCAGCAGGGTCAGGTGTTGCCGTGTGGTAGTTGTTGGCTCTTGGGACCTCGTTGTCTGGGACGTGGGGAGCGGGACCTTCCTTTCTTATTAAAGTATTTTTATCCATCCTGTCCAACTACATTATTGCGTCAACGGGTAGTTCTTGTGTGTCGGAAGTTTATAGCAATAATTACCTACTTGATGATGCAAAATTTAAGGTGTCAACATGAGCAGTTGCCGGTTTGACCCATGCGAGGCAACATCCTGTCTATAGCCAGCCTCTCACATTCCTGTATTTGACCAGCCAATGTTTCAAACTTGTCAGCGAGTTTGATACACTTGACTTGTTCCACGAGTCCCTCCTAGTCGGTGTTAACATTAATTTTTCTAGTCACGTCCGGCATTACTCTACGCTGGTCTACAGAATATAAATTGAGTTATGCAAAATGTTTCTTAAATTGGAAGTTTCAGACCTCTGATGATTTAAACAGTCTTACAACACTATACATTCAAGACAGTTTAAATCCAAACTATATTACGATGCTCATAACTACACAATAACTCATAACTCATCATAATGACAAGATAAATTTGATGGATAACAAGGCTTTCATTACAAGCTGTGGAATTTGATCGTTTGTAAACGTACATTAATGACACTATGTAAAAAGATTCCTCGAACACTGTAGGACATAAATCGCCCCTCCTCGCTCGCCTGCCCTTCCCCTCCTCGCTCGCCTGCCCTTCCCCTCCTCGCTCGCCTGTCCCGCGCATTAAACAGAGGGTTACATATACGAACATAAACAAGCTTTATGGAAGTTAAATCATGCCTAACGTGTCTACTGAAGTTCTATGATAAAGCATCGAAAATTAAAGCATGACGAAAGAATGGGCAGAGTGCGTATTACCACTAACGTGGTATTGACAGTTCCTCGCAAGAGACTTCTAAAACCTGTGAGAGAAGAGGGAGAAAGCGAGGAGCATAGATAAGTCATAGTGACGTACAGTGACACAGAGCGAGCAGTCTGACATAAGGAATCCTCGAGTCCCTCGAGGATTTAGACAACGTCAGCAGCATATTCTTCACCGGCAAACCAGAACATCACTCGAAAACATGAATTTGGAAGCATTCAGATCACTGTTCACCACTTGCGTGAGACAGGTTTTGGAAATTACTGCCCCAACATGCATCTCAAAAACCGCAAGGAAACTGGACAAGGTAGAGAGGCGTGCAAAATTGACCTTCCCAGAATTACGAGGACTGGGCTGTAGCTAGCATCACTAGGAAGAAAAATTTATACCATGATAGACATAAATATTTAGGCGAATTGATAGAGGGAAAAGAGGAAACGTTCACAGTAAATTTTAATAGAACAAGAGGGTAAAAGTTAAGAATGTGACGTTGAAAAATAGAAGAGCCATACGAGTGAGTTAATACAGATATACAAAATATACTCATACATGTAATACACACACAGACGAAAAACAAAACACACAGCACATGCACACACAAACCATGATCAAATGTGGTTCTTCTAATATCAATAATATATGTACACTTTAACCTTACAAAGTAAAATTGCAGGCATAATTAATGGCTGTGACAGCCAATTAGCTTAAACACATTTTAAGGGGCCAGACGGCTGAGTGGACAGAGCTCGGGACTTGTAATCTTAAGAGCCGGGGATCGATCCCCGGCGTTGGCGGAAACAAATGGGCAGAATTTATTTCACCCTGATGACCCTGTTTATCTTGCAGTAAATAGGTACCTATGAGTTAGACAGCTGCTACGGGCTGCTTTCCTTGGGGGGTGTGTGGGGGGGAAAAAAATCCGTTCCTAGTGTTCGCAACTAGGAAAACACAACTATGTGAATACTAAGACACGAGTATAAGATGGCGGTTCTCTGAAGGAACTAAGAGACAATAATAAAGCCATACACCTGCCTCTCCTCCTGCTTGATGTTCACCGGGGAGCAACTAGTGGAGAAAACCATGTTGGCGGTGACTGATGTTGGTGCTTGTTGTGGTGTACGAACAGAGAAACACTGACCATTGCTAGGCAGCTCCAGGTGACGACTGGTGTCCTGCCTGGGAGGGGAAGCTTATATAGGTGGCCTGTGGGGCAGCAGGATGCACAACCTGCACCGACGTTGACAGCACTAGACTCCTGCAATATATACACTATATAAAACATAATGTTATATCTTCTTTTCGTTCAGTTCGGTTAGGATAGGTTGGGTTGGTGACTGAAATTGGTTAGGTTAGATTTGTTTAAACAAGTAGCGACGAGGGTAGAGGGTTGCACAGTATTCTCAGCTCTAGGACGTCATCCTATTCCACTAGGATACAGGTATACTTTCATCCCCCCCCCATCAAGACGTCGGAGGTCAGGTCGGGGACACTAAGCCGGGGACAGCTTCCCAGACGGTCACAGTCAGGGCTGTCTTACGACCTACACCTTGTACACTCGGGGTGTACAATGTAATAGAGAAAGGTACAGCTATTGGTCAAGTGATCACACGCATGTGTAGTGTCAACACGCTAATATACGCTGTCAAAGTGGATGAAATGTTATCCACGATATGGTGGTTATATCACTAACTCTGTGACCCCCCCCCCCCTCAGAGGATTCGAACTCAGGCCGCCAGGCGTCTCTCCACCAACAGCACTGGTACCATGCCTGTGTGATGTGGAGACGCTTTGTGAACGAAGTTTAATTACAATGACTAACATATATACTTCAGCGCTGGATTATCTTCAGGACTTGTGTATACTCTCAAATGCACAAACACACAGAAGCCGGGAAATTGAATTGAAATTGAAACCGGGAAAGGCTCAGTGTTCATAACCTCACGTATTCTCTTGAGAACGATTGATTAGTATTGTCACCGAAGTCCAATCGTTTTCGTGTGAGAATTATCCCATCGAATTTAACTTTGATTTCTGTTGTCTCACGTTGCGACGCTTAAATAGCTCTTGATTTTTTTTCACACAGCCATATAATTTGATGTGGTACCACACTATTTTGAGATCAGTCTCTTGCTCTTTCTCTCTCCTTCACTCTAAACCTCAAAATCCAAAAATTGTTGATCTAAATCATAAGATGTGTTGTGTCCTCACTTAACCTGACCTCTGACGTCACTCTTAATAAACCATCAGGGCCGGTTGACCCTCTAAGCACCTCACAAGCGACCTGACAAGCTGTTCACTGCTTGGAGAAGTTATAAATAACGAACGCTAACGCAGCAACACGCGGCGTTGCGTTACTGCGTTATGCAATTCATTGCGTTGTGTTGATGCAACAGCCTTGTATGCTTTATTTAATGAGACGATGAGTCTGTCATTTAGGTTCCGTAGCGCCTTCATGTGAGAGCATAAGTCTTGTGTTATAAGTTATTATTAGTAACATCTTTATTTACACGAATTAATTACAAGCTTGCCTAATCTGAGGAATTCAATTTGGTCTGATTAGAGGATAATACTGGTATTGACTGTCACACAGGACAGAGGATCATATTCAAAACAATAGGTCTAAACTGTAGGCTGAAACTCGTTATTTATATGTACGTGTGTACATATGTGTGTACACAACATGGTTACAATCAATTACATTAGACAGGATACATGTTTCAATTTATGAATATGTAAATCCAACTTTCTATTGTACACTGCCACACTCGGGATGAGATGGGGTTCATAAGAGATATAGCTTGAAAATAAGATTCTAAGACACTGATTCTCCAATAAAGTGTTAATTAATTTTAGCTCACATAATCACCCTGTAATTGGTAGGTCAACAGGATTACAGAGGGCACAAAAGGTCATAGTCAGATCCTAGTGATGGTGTTTGACCATATCTTGAGGTTATCTTGAGATGATTTCGGGGCTTTTTTTTTAGTGTCCCCGAGGACTGGTCCTCGACCAGGCCTCCTCCCCCAGGAAGCAACCCGTGACAGCTGACTAACACCCTGGTATCTATTTTACTGCTAGGTAACAGGGGCATAGGGTGAAAGAAACTCTGCCCATTGTTTCTCGCCGGCGCCTTGGGATCGAACCCAGGATCACAAGTCCAGCGTGCTGTCCGCTCGGCCGGCCGGCTCGGCCGACCATTGTAGAGTTTTGTAGACACTTTCAAGTGTTATTTTTATTTACATATAAATATTTATATGTAAATATAAATATTTACATTTTACATTTACATATTTACATTTTATTTACATATTTACATTTATTTACATTTTTATTTACATTTTTGGTTTAGTCATATAACCTGGAACACTACATATAGGTGAGTAACTTTGACAGAAGACTACCAGGGGTGTTCGGTCTTGCCATGGGTTATCTTCCAGCTGATCTTGAGATGATTTCGGGGCTTAGCGTCCCCGCGGCCCGGTCCTCGGCCAGACCTCCTTTTTTTGAGTTACACACCCCCAGGAAGCAGCCCGTAGCAGCTGTCTAACTCCCAGGTACCTGTTTGCTGCTAGGTAACAGGGGGCTTCAGAGTGAAAGAAACTCTGCCCATTTGTTTCCACCTCCACCGGGGATCGAACTCGGAACCTCAGGATTACGAATCCGATGCGCAGTCCACTCAGCTGTCAGGCAGCCCGTCTCACGTCACTTGACTCGCCTGCCAACCGTCCACCTAAGGTTTCACGACGTCAAGAAACCGTTGTACTAAAGGACACTTATCTTCTATTTTCTAGTACTTTTGGCTGTCAGTGACGGCTGAGTGGACAGTGCACGGGATTCGTAGTCTAAGGTTCCAGGTTCGATCCCTGGCCGAGGCAGAAACAAATAGGCAGAGTTTCT